ATGAGGCTCAGCCTCCCAGCCCGAGGACTGTTCTGCCCTGCGGCACCCAACCCACTCCAGGCCTCCTCCTCCCACCTCGGCCCTGCTGAAGGCAAGGAGAGAACCAAGAAGTTGCAACCAGTCAGTGATGGCGTTGCAGTGTGCTGACGTGGTAGGACAGGCTGTACGGGCAGCAGGGTGCAGTTCCCTTCTTCAAAAAGCAGCCCCTTAACCACACTCCTCAACCCACTGGGTGTTTTGAATGAAGGCCTGTAAAGAGGATGCAGTGAAGTTGGCTTGACAAAACGTCCTTCCACCTCCTGAGACACATCACGTACTGAAACGTCATTCAGTTGTGGGGTGCATTGTGACTTAAACTGAGAAACAACAAAGCCCCTTCACATGATATTGTGTGGCCATGTTCCTGTTTCTTCTCTCAAATGTGAATCAGCACCTCCCCAGCACCACACTATGTTGGCTGTTAAGTAGCTTATTAACTGCCAGGAGGAGTGGAGCAGCGATACGATTGTAAGTGGCAATGGAAACAAAGTCCACTTTGGCTTGACTTTGCCCATGTAATAATAAACGTGTGTTTTTTCCCCTTTTGTTAAGTGGATGTTAATTTTTTGGGCCAAATTCATTTGAGCAGCAGTTTGTCAGTTTCTGGTCATGCTTGTTGTGTAGTAATCACTCTAGATTTTCAATTGAGTGTAAAGGAAAACATAATGGGTCAAAATTTTTTTATATAATCATTTTAAGAGTGATCCCTATCAGAAATACTGAGTTATATTTTTTGCTGAAAGTTTACATTTTGGTAACATTAGCCATGATACTCTGAGGAGCTGTTTACAGATGCCAAGTGATGCACAGTGTGGCAGTACGCTGATGACCTGAGTAAAATGAGTCCTGTCTACAGAAAAATCAGGTAACTGAATGGAGGAATAAACGAATGAATAACAGAGGCTGACAAAATCATCTCTAGCTCATCAGCTGCAACGAGCCACTTCGGCCACACACTTTAGAGATGACTCTCGGCGGCAGGTTGTACGATACGGCCTCATGGCCTCTAAAAGATGGTGGCAGCACAAGGAAAGGTTAGCAGAAGGGCCCGAATAGTAAGACGGATCATCTTTGTCCATGGAGAGTTCAAGGGAGAAAAGGTGGCTTATTCAGCACATGGAGACAGTCAAATGTCCCTCTAATCAAAATCATTTATAAATATTTAAAATAAGACCCATTCTACTGTTTAATCCTGGGGGGCCCAGAAAAATGTGCTTTGTTTTCTGTCTCTAGCCATGACTACAGAGCCCCCTCGTCCAACAGTGACTCACTGAGAAAATGGAGACCACTGGACCTTTTTTGGCCTCATCCACTCTTTAAAAATGTCAAAGAATTAGAAGAGGTGACTTCTGCCCTCTCACTGCTAGAGCTCCTGCATTTTGATGAATGCCTGGCAGCAGCTGGGGCTCAGTGAACAAGCTGTGTTCCCTCCAGAGCCCTGGCCTGGTGCCCTGCATGCAGTGGCTGTGACCGTGTGTGGGGGTGGCGGTGGTCAGAGGAGGGCGCAGGACAGAATTTATATTTGTTGAATTAATGACTGAAGATAAATCAGTTATTTTTGCCAGTAATTAAGATTGCCATTTCTCTAATGGCTGGGGACCTGAATCCCAATTCTGCTACTTAGAACTTTTATTAACTTGGGTGAGTCACTTACTTTTCCTGGCTCTGTTTCCTCATCTATCAAATGGGACTAGAAGTACCAGCCTTGCACATCCCATTAAACGACGCATGAGACAGTGCAGGTGAAAACACTTGGAGAGTGTTTGTCATGATTCCACCTCCCTCCCGACACCTTTAATTCACTTGCTCCCAGCGTGCCCCTCATGCTCTGGTGTCTTCCTAACAAGCAGGAGTTGCTGACCATCTATCTGTTCTGGCAACTAACAGTACCACACACTGGGGGTCAGGAATAGTAGTTTTGCCTTGGCATTCCTCTAAAAATTCTAGGTAATGTCATCTGGTCCCAGAGATCTAGTGACACTCTGAGTTAGACCTAAAACTGTGTGTTTAGTGTTGTCCCATGTTGGCCCTAAATGACATCAGTGGTGGCAGCACTGCCGTGGGACCCTGCGCCCACTATCCTGTGAGCATCACTGGCTCCTTGACAATCTAGCTGCTGCGCTGTAGGGGAAGTAATCAGCGTTTCAGGCAGACTTTCAGCACAGGAGATATCAAGTCTGGGAATGACCAAGGTGGGTGGTCAAGAACGTTAGTTCCCACTGTTCAAAATGGGAGCACCGACAAGCTGAAGAGCTTCCAGGCCAGAGGTGGCAGAGCGGCTGCCCAGGGGGCTGTACTCGGGGGTACATCCTTGTCTTCCCAGCACTGATGCTTTCCTATGAGCTCCTTAGTATCTCCTGAAGAAGCTGACACCCCCCTCCATGAGGGAGAGACCCTCAAACCTGCTTTCCCTTCCTGAAATGCCTTTCCCCCTTGCCTCCTGCTTTCTCTTTGATCAGCTGCCCCACTGTGCCCTTGAGCCCATCTGCCCAGCCGGAGGCTCTGCCCCCACACCTCCCTCGCTGGGATTTGCAGTCTCACCTCCTCTACTGTTTGTCCACGCCTGTCTAGACTTGTGGCCTTAGAAAGCCCCTCTCCATTAGCCCCTCAGCTATTTCCTCTTTGACTCTCACAGTGTTTTGATGGGCCTGGTATTCCTAATGATTTGGATGTGTCTTGTCTTGCTTATTATCCTGCAAACCTCCTGAGGACAGACTGTGTACCTTATTTATGTAACACCTGTACGTCCTAGCACAATATCTTACCCTGGTGGGGCCAATAAATATTTACTGTGTTAAAGTTTATGATAATTGATTTCTAAGAACAAGTCACCATATCAACCCCCATTCCTATTCTCTTCTTCTAAAATGTAGTCACCATAATGTGATCACATTATACAGTAGGTTTCTCTATAAATAAAACAGCTACTGGTTTCTGTTTTATCCCACTCATACTCAAACACATTCTTTTGCCATCTTGCATCTTCAAACGCTTTCTTTAAGGCAACAATTTGATACCTCTAAAAAGCATTATTTTCCCATTCTGTGAGCCTCTCGTCACAACTGTGTACAGCTGGAACCCTTCACAATTGCTCTCTGGCCTCAGTGTGTACCTTCCCCCATTTGGTGCAATGTCTCTGGTGAATTTCATTATGTGGGGCTGCTGAGTCCCTTGCATTTTTGTTTCACGAAGCTGTTGTGGTTGTTCCTCACATGTGAACCTGCCAACTGCCCCTCCCCTGCCCCCCCTGCATCTCGAGTGATTTACGTCAAGGCCCTCAGTGCTGCCCAGTGCCAGCTGTCTCCTTCCAGCCCTGCAGCTGCTGGGGCCCTGAGTCCTCACCCCAGAAGCTGACTGGCAGAGATGGTGCACTCATCCTCTCAGATGCGCTATTCAAGTCTCTCCTGAGCATGTATATTGAGATCTGTGTCAATTCAAATCTCATACTTCAAAAACAATATTACAGTCTGGTTGGTTGCCAGATTTTTAAATTACTTTCTCTTTTTTCAGGTTGTGACAAAGGGCTGTGGGAAGCTGTTTGACTCATCTTATGCCCAATGACACAAATGTGTGGACAGGCTGCTCCAGGCCAGGGACCAGGCCGGGACTGGGAAGAACCTCCAGCCGAGCCCATGAGATTCCTGGGCTGGGGAGGATGCAATGTTGACCCAACTTGGGGCTATTATCCACAAGGAAACTGAGGCCAGTTGTGGAACAGGCAGGTGGGGAGGGGGGCACTGCCCAGTCTCCCCAACCCTGTGGCCCCTCTGGCACCAGGCAATGATGGTAGGACCCAAAGTACTCCATTATGTTCTTCTCAGAGACACACTGAGGATCAGGCTGAACCATTAAGTGGGGAAGAGGGCACTGGAGTGAGACATACACTAGCCCCATCATGAAAACCCAAAGCAAAACACTGAGTTCACATGAAGATGGGCAGAGAACGCTTCATGCAGGAATAGCTATCGTGGGAATGTTTTAACCACTCTAGCTATATATTTTGTAATGACTGCAAGTGCAGGAATTTATTATGTAATCAAAAGGATTTGTGATTACTAATTGGTGACACTGTGTCCGGTCAGGATTAATAATTTGGGCCTAATTGCAGATGTTAAGATCCAGTCATGGGATGTGTGTTGACTGGCAGCAGTGGGCTGGGCAGGCCTCCCTTGCCCGGCCCTCAGTCCCAGTGTGAGGAGCTAGTGGGTTGCGGTCATGAGGCTCTGAGATCTACAAGGCCTGGAGGCCCCTGGGGTGCAGAGGCCAGGGGACCGACTGCTCCAGAGGAGCAAGTGGCAGGGGCACATGCCTCCTTCTGTTCAAGTCTGGCTGGGAAGGTTGGAAAAGAGGCTCTGGTCCAGGGTTAACAGTCTTCCAAATGACAAATACCTCTTCGCTCTCCAGGAAGCGCACAGAGAGTCAAACGAGTTCTTACTACTCTGGAATAAATAGTAATGCTTTCTGGGTCGAGAGCCAACGGGCAGTTTGAAAGACTGAGCTAATCAGACGCAGGGAAATTTCTGATTAATTGGACAATTATTTTGAATTCTGAGAGCGCCAAGGCAATGCTAGAGAAACATCCTGACCATCTAGGAATAAATTCAATAGCCTAAGGCAGAAATTTTTACGCTTACAGGGTTGAAGTACACAGGCATGGTGCGTCAGATTTTTATGGTCTCAAGTCCCCCAAATGTATAGAGCCTATAACTATTTTTTTAAGACCACAGTGACTCACAATTATTTTGGAATTGAGCAATTATGGAAAATCTGTTTGACATTCTCTTGAAATCCTTCTAGGATACGGCAAAACCAACATTTAGGGGCCAGGAGAGAGGGATCATCACGTGTGATGATGGGAAGCTGCCCAGATCCATGCATTAACTGCCTCCTGGTGTGCATCAGCAGCACGCAGCACTCCCGCCCTGCCCCTTCCTGGACGTCGGAAGGTGGCAGGGCCTCACCTGGTGGGGGCGTGCTTCTGTTCCTCCTCCTCGTCCGTGTCGCTGCTGATGGTGATGACGCTGACCGTGGGGCTGGGGGTGTCAGGAATGACAATCGTCTGCCGCTGCCGCTCTCGGGCGGTGCTGGAGGCCCCATCGCCCCACCCACACGTGACAGAGGAGCTGCAGGCCGGGCTGCTGTGCACCAGGGCGCAGCGCGGAGGCGTGTTCTCCTTGACTCGCTTGGACCGCTGAGGGGAGCTGACGGCCTGCGAGGAGGACACCTCACAGGTGGACACGTTTCTGTAACGACAAGGCCACACACACTCACGGAAGGTCAGGCCCAACAGCTCCTTCCAAGGAGCCCAACCGCCTAACCAATCTCCATTAGAAAGTTAGAGGGCCAGGGCACCCAGGGTTATTCTGCAGCCACAGCAGTGGCCACTTGTAGAGTTCTCGCTTTCAATTAGTCGCCACCCAGACAGGGACAGCAGCCTGGCCTCCTCCAGGCTCCGGCTGGCTGCATGTGCAGCTCCCAGAGGGATGAAGGGAGAAGCCAGGGCTCTAAGGACAGGGGAGAGAGGAGAGGGGAGAGGGGTTGTGCCCAAGGGGTGGGCTGGTCTTGTGTGGGCAGAGCAATGCCCAGGATTTCTGAGGTGTCTGCCCCAGGGCAGCCTGACTTCCTGAGCTCCATCTGGTCATCCTCTCCCCCACACTGGACTTAGGTCTTGTTTTGGAAGGAGCTGGACGAAATGGTGTTTGCCCAAGAAAGCTTTGGTTTCCTTGGTAATGACTGTTTACCACTTATTAAACTAAAACACTCATTTCTTAAGACTTCCTGGAATTAAAGGATCTAATGCTGGTGACCTTGCCCTCCTTCCTCCTCTGAGAAAGGGACGTGGCTGTGAAAGTATCTCCTTATGTGCAATTTAAAAAGTGATCTTTAAAACTTTATTTTGATTGACTAGATATTCCTTATCAAATTAGCAAAATGGAGTTTCTGGAAACTTCAGGAAAAAATACCTTACCCCTTGCTCTCTCCACCAACCCCTGCTGAAGTGGGTTCTATTTATAGTGAGAAATGGAAGCCAAGCGGTAATGAAACTTAAGACTTTGGTAAGTCCTTAGAGATTCTAGCACCTTCTAGTTAAAAGGATGGCAGAAAGATGAAAATAATTTTGTAAAGATGGATTTATTTCATTTTCTAACTGGTGTCAGATTTGTTGCTTGTTCCTTCTTGGCGGCTGGTTAAGTTTTACTAAAGTTACTCCTTATCAGTACTTATTATTCCTACTTACTTTATAAACCTTCAAATTATTGCTAACATGTTGCAATTTTAAGATTGTTTACATCACCCTAGCAGTTAAAATATCTCCATTTGGCATTGTTAAGGGAAAGTATGCCTGTTCCCACCACCCTACAAGGGAAGAGCCTTCTGGTCTTTCAGACTCTTTGCCTAAGGCATTGCTCTTCAAATACAAAACTTACGCTAAAATTCTATTGATCTTGAAATGCACTGGCAGTACACCTTCATAAAGCCAGCCGGGTGATGAGTAGGCAACAGGGTGGGGTTTGTCACCAGGTTGGGAGGCTAAGGGTTCTCCTTGCCAAGGAGAGCCCTGAGTATGCTAAGCTCAGTCCCAGGGTCAGAACAGAGTTGGGACAGCCCACCTGGCTGGGCATGACAGAGATGGCTGGGTGGTTGAGATGGTGGCCTCTGTTGCTATCCTGTCTATAACGACATGGGTGTGTTGTCACGGGCCTGCCATAGATCTCAGATGAATTTCCCTGAGTTGGCAGAAACATCCAAATAAGGCATCTTGAGGAAAGATAACAACTCGAGAGAATTGGATTAATCTTTGCATGAGAAAGAAAGAGGCAGGCCTAATTTCTGGCACCTGCCTAGATGAGGAAATAGAGAACCAACATTCACTAGACATTTTACTGGGTTTGTGTCTTGATTAACCAATTCCAAGTAAGCAATTAAGTCAGTGCCAGTGGAGAGAAATGCAGGAGCGATTCTGCAGCCGTACAATCTTGATCTTAATTTTTTTGTTGTAAGTCAAGTTTATTGAGGTAAAAGTCACCCTTGGCAACTGCTGGACGAGTGCTGACAGACATACACGTGGCCCCAACCATCCGGCCACGAACTCTTTCATTACTAGGGACACTTCCTGTCCTTCCCTGGCGAAGCCTCCTCTGACCTCTGTCCCTATAGGTTTGTCTTTTCCAAAATGCCATACAAATGGGATCATGCCAGCATGTGGCCTTTTGTCCATCTTGATTTTTATGAGTTGACTGAGATAAGATTGGATTGAAAGGGAATGAGAAAGACTATTGTTTTGCTGGCTAATGTCTAGGACTAACCAAAGTTGCTTACATTTAAGAAAGCAGCTAAGTGAGTTCTATTTCTGACTGTAGATTTCAAACAAAGCACAGTGCTCCACTATTTTCTAAGTTACTAGGGTTTCTCAGAGGTAATTCTGAACGATCTATAGAGAAGAGGGTGGGGGCAGAATTGCACAGCGACGCCGGCCTCCACCCGCAGGCGGCCAACGCAGCCGCGAGCAGGGAAAGTGGAGCCCGGGAACAGACCAGAGCGAGCTCCAGGCCCTAGCCCTATCCACGAGGCGCCACACGTCCTACCCCATCGCACGGATCCAGAGCAGGTGCTGACACTCCCCTGTGCTACCAGGGCTGCCTGATTCCCAGACTCCTCAGGGCCCTGCGCTGTGCACACCCCGCCTACCTGGCAGAGGACGGATGCTGCTTACTCTTCCGAGAGGAGGTGCTGCTGGTTGGCTGCTGCCGCATCACGTGGGCCACGCCCACATTTAAGGGCTGGGCTGCTGGGAGGGTCACGTGACCAGTTAATAGCGCAGGCTGCTGCATGATGGGATTGTAATGGCTGCCATGAGCATGCGTGTTCCTGAAAAGGAGATGGGGAAGACATGGCTCTTTAGTGGTTTTAACAAACACAGCTTTTGTTTAAAGATAAAGCTTACCCCCGTACAAAAGCCTATTTAAAACTAAAAGTTGGTTCTCACTAGCTGATGGGATTGTTGAAGAACGGGCTTATCAGCTCATTAAGTTTCCCAGGTGCGGTAAAATTTAAGTGCTGTTCAGAAGGAGGGCAGAAACACAACTTGTGAGGGAGAACGAGGGTGTTATAAGTGGAGGAACGCCAATTATGCAGCCTTAAGTTCTGGGGAGAGGAGATAAATATCTCCTCCAGCTTTTAAAATCTCCAAACAGATGATTGTGCTGGGCACTTTCTTTTAAAGTGCCTTCTTTAGTGGGTTATTTTACTCTGTGAGGTAGTCAGGGTATTTTAGTTATGCGTTCTATAAATGAGGAAATAGTTTTGTTAAAAAAAACTTTGAAGAATGGGACTGTTATGCTTCTGGCTTTTAGGAAGTGAACATTTTGAATTCTATTACTGGTTAGCACAATGCTCTGACATGTAGCAGCTGATAAATTACACGCTTGTTGAATGAACAATTAGATTAACCTAAAGTTGATAGTATGTATAGAAGAAATCAAAATTAATGTCAGACATGTGTTGATAGAATTACAGGTATTACTTGCTTTCTGAAAGTTTACCTTAGCCAATTAACTCTTAGGAAAGTCCTACAGTTAGCACCGTACTGTAAAGGTGAAAATCCTCTTCAGAGTTCTTTCCATCAGGGAAACAGGTACTACATGTAGGGCTTTCCTAAAAGCAAAGTGGCATAATATGAACTTGCAGACATGGGGGAACATGCTTTGCTTTATGCCATTTCATCTTACAAACGTTTCATAGGAAGTTCTGCTTCTGCAAAGTGGGAGAAACCTGCACTGGCAGCCATTATCCTGAAAATGTGTACATTTTAAAAGTTCTTATGATCTGGGTTGTTGGAGCTCAAAGGCTTCTTTTCCCACAGAGTGGTGATTAATTCAGAGACTTGCCCATAAAAGCCCATTTAACTCATGACAAAATTAAAAGTTAAAGAAGAATGCATTTGAATTTTTAAAAAGTATAAAATTTATTTTTGCAACTTGGGGAAAAGGGTGAATGTGAAAAACATGTAGGCAGACACTTGTATAGAGATTTTGATAGAATCTTCTGGACATTTACATGAGTTTCAAAAACTGATGTTATGCCTTCTTTACTTTGCTGTTTCTTCTAGACATGGCATTCTTTTTCCTGTGATACAGGTTTAGCATTGGTATGTCTCTTCTGCCTAGTATCCACAATTATGGCTGTTCTTCGGCCCACACATGACACAGAGATGAGACTGGAAAGAAAGTGTGTTGGCTTTAAGTGTTTTCTGTGACAAAATGGCAAGAGATGCAGAGGGAGGGATAAGAAAGTCTGCATGAATGAGTATGTGCCTACTGCTGAAATCAAATATGCTGCAAATGCTGAGAAACAGAGGAAAAGAGGAAAGGGAGGAGAAAAAACAACTGGTCCAACAGCTTTCTGCTTGGTTGCCATGCCTAATGAGCTGGAGAGGGAGGCGCTCTCTCTGAGCATGAACCAGTGTACATAGGGGAAGGGAAGATAACAGGTTTATTTACTGCCTGTCATGTACAAGGCACTGGTATACTACATGTTAAATATGGGTCAAGTGCTTGTATTTTGTCTTAATTTAAGCCTTCCAACTATCCTACCAGGTAGGCATTATTACCCCCACATTGCTGAAGAAGAAACTGGGGCTCATAAAGGTTAAGTACCTTGCCCCAGGTCGCGCAGAGCCAGAACTGAGCCCTGTTTTATCCGGTTTGAAAGTGCTTCCAATGAATGGAGGTGGACATGGTGGGTGTTGCCAGTGGGAAGTGAGTGGGACTGAAGGGAAGAGCCTGTGTTTTCTCTTTTTTACAAGTCAGAAAACTAAATGGAGTTATAATGGACTCTGCTGTTGAGGCTTGACAGGGGGCTTCTAGCTCCACCCCTATTTGTTTTACTGAGAGTTCTTCATTCTCAATAGCCTTTAGAAAAGGATCTGTAGGGGAGTCTTCACTGGGGCTACAGAGACTTTCTGAGGTGGAGGGGTACCCTGATGTTTGGCTCAATGAGATCCCAGAGGGCCATGGGAAGCTGTGGACAACTTGAGGGGTTGCCACTTGGCTCTGCCCTGGGGAAAGGGGGCATTGTGGTGGTGCTGGGAGAGGGTGGGTGGGAAGTACAAGGAAAAGTGAAAAATGGCCATAAAAACAACAGAGCAACATGTAGGTGAGGAAGTCAGTGAGGGAGACAGGATGGTATTCTAGAAATAGATGCAGAAGGTATGGCATGCTGGTGACTGTTGGCTGGATGCCTCTGGGGTCTGTGGAAAATGGACTTTGATTTATAAGCTCTGACTATTAACTGAAGAAACACACTCAGCAAACATGCCAGGCTTTACTATTCCACATAAACCCCATTCTGCTAAGCCTTCCTTTGAGAGGTCAGATACAGCTCTAGTGTGCTCATGTCTCAACACACCTTGAGAGCACTTCCCAGAATTGCTTAGGTGCCTTGAGGACTGTCTTCTGCGTCCTTGGTGATAAAACTTTGTTTTCTGGGAGTAGAATTTAATTCTACAAACCAAAAATTATTCGGAGGCAAGTCTGATAAATTACACTGGTGATCAAATGACGTAACTGAATTTAGGATCAGAAATGACAACTGACTGTAGAGTAATGAAGCTGACTGTCTCATGCCTTGGTACATTTAGCTAAAAAAACCCTCTCATTACACTGCAGTCATATTCCACTTAACCAGCTCTCCACACACCAGGGAATTCAGGTGCAGGCCAGCCTGGCAGCTCTCCAGGGCAGCAGTGGGCATGCCTCCCATCCCAGATGGTCTGCTTTCCTACTTACCTCCAGTCGGCGAGCTGCTGGGTGCCCGCCATGGTCTCGGGAATCACAGTGGCGTGCTGCACCGAAGTGTGCGTGGCCACCCCAGTCAGCTGCTGCCATGCTGGGGGAAGCAGGATCTGCTGGGTCCCACTTGGCCAGGCCTGCTGTAGAAGAGAGGACACAGGCAGTCACCAGGTTTGTTCATCACATAATCCACTGGCACAAATCAAGCGATTATTCTGTGTCTGGGGTGATGCTAGACCCTGTGATTGCTGTGAAAGTGGAGACCTGGTCTTTGGCTTCAAAAACTAAGTTAAGGGAGAGAAAATTAAGATATTTGAACTATACAGAAGAGAATAAGTACATGGGCAAACAGTTGTATGGAAGGGATCCATTTGTGTTGAAGAATGACTTATTTATAAATCTGATCTAATGAACAATGCTCAAAGTTCCCAAAAGTTCATTTTTTGATTCATTCTGGCACACAACTATGTGTAAGAGATTATGGTAGTTGAATTGGGCACTACAACTGCCCTCAAGAAGTTTTCCATCTAGTACCCTTTATTTACTATTTTACCTTTTGTTTGTCAGAATCTAGAGCTCCAACCTGAGTTAGCTTCTGAATCCAAGTCAACATAACTCTGAGATCACCAAATACCTGGCACTTGCTTGCACCTGAGAGCGAGCACGGGTAAAGTTCTTAGCTGGAACCTTGACCTCAGTTGAGAATTACTTCAACCCCTCAAAGCAAAAATGAGGCACAGTTAGGAAGCCATACTTTGATTTTTCATAAATATTAAGCTGCTTCTAAGAAATCGAAAATGAACTTTCCTGATTCCTCCTTGAATAAACTTACTTGTGTGTGTGTATGTGTGTGTGTGTGTGTGTGTGGTGTTTTAAGCTTTCTGTGTCCTCAATCACTATTCTGCTTGCCTTTGGTTATTAAATGATTCAGAGTGAACACAGTTGCCTGAAGTTAGACATTAAAGGACACCACTAAGATAAAATGGCTCTTGGGCAGACCAAGAATTTGAGATCCGGGATCTTAGTTGTCTCTCTCTCCTTCCATCAGGCTGGATATAACGAACACTGCAGTGTTCCACCATCCGTGTGTGTGTTCAACTCATGTGTTTGGCTCATATGTACAAACCGGCACTTCTAGAAATGGATCACGGAGTTGGGTACAGGCTTAATGAACAGTGATGTGTGTAAACATGATATGACCACATTTCAATCTGACTGGACGGTTCACCTGGTCCATCTTTCTCATGTTGCAGATGGGGCCCTCTGAGATCTCTTATACTTTTTGGATATTGCTTATTTGTTTATGGATCTGTTTTGATATAGACCGAAAGCTTAGGGAGCAGAGATTATACATAGGAAGTGCTTACTAAATGTTTGTTGATAAAATGAAAGAAGCATTCTACAAGGTAATTAACTAGTTAACTATATTTCAAGTTTACTGAATTAATACACAGTAAGCAGAAAAATAATTTAATTGACTAAAACAGTTATGAGCTCAAAATATTAAATGAATAACAATTTTGTTGGCAATAAGATTTGTACTGACTGGAACTCATTTCAGACCTCATGAAAAGCATGTGTTTTCACTAATAGCATTTTTAATTAATAAATCTTGATATCAAGCTAAAGATGTCATTTTTCCCTTAGTTCCCTAAAATGGAATTAACTTTTTACCTCAAAGAGATGGGATAAAGGGCTTTTTTTTTTTTTTACCTCTTTCACTGATGGATATGTTCAATTCATTACACATTTCTATAATTTATAAGATTAGAGATAATATTAGAGTTACTATTTCTTTTTTTTATTAAAGTATCATTGATACACAATCTTATGTTAGTTTCAAATACACCAAACAGTGGTTCAGCATTTACCCATTTTATCAAGACCTTGCCCCCTCCAAGGCGATCGCTGTCCATCAATGTAGTAAGATGTTACAGAATCATTAACTTTATTGATGATGCTATACTACCATCCCCGTGACTGACCTATTATATTGTGATTGTGAATTACTGTGCCCCTTAATCCCCTTCCCCCTCCTTCCCACCCTCTTCAACCTCTCTTCTTTGGTAACCACTAGTCCCTTCTCAGTGTCTATGAGTCTGCTATTTTGTTTCTTCTGTTTTGCTTTGTTTTTATACTCCACAAATAAGGGAAATCATTTGGTATTTGTCTTTCTCTGTCTGGCTTATTTCACTGAACATAATACCCTTTAGATCCATCCATGTTGTTATAAATGAGAGGATTTCTCTTTTTATGGCTGAGTAGTATTCCATTGCATATATGTACCACATCTTCTTTATCCATTCATCTATTGATGGACACTTGGGTTGTAGAGCTAATATTTCTTGATGCATATTGTGTGCCAAGAGCTAGCACAGAGCTAGGACCATAAATAGGCTTTCTGACTTCATCAAAACACCAGTACTATGAGGTAGGGACTATTATTTCCTCCCATTTCTCAGATGAATAAAATGAAACACAGAGAGGTTAAATAACTTCCCCGGAAATGTGGTAAATTAAATTAAACCTATACATGTATTGCTCTCTCTCTCTCTCTTTAAACCCAACAAAAATGATAGTGAAAGAATAAAAAAATATATAGATCCATATGGACAAAGATAACAGGGAGAGACAATAACAGTTAAAATTTTAGAAGCTAGAAAACAGAAAGGCAATCAGGGAATTAGCAGACTGGAAGGAATCTAAGGTCACATCTACATATTAAATCATGAGAATCCTCTGCCCCTCAGTCCCCAGATTCCTGGTATGTAGGTTTATATCCTACTCCTCTTTCCCTCTCAAAGCAGGAGGCTGGAAGATTCTCTCTAGAGAAGCTGTCCAAGAGAAGAAACTACAGATACATGTAAGGATCAGGGATTTGCCAACAAAAATGCTGGGCTACACCTGAAGAGCCTACAGAGAAGCCCATATTCAAAAGTCCCACCTCCCCTGGAGCTTCCCAGCTAGGTTTTTAGCCCTCCGATCTTAAATATGCTCATCCAAGTGTCACCACGTGTTAAAGGAAGCTTCTAATATGAAAGAGACTAGAACAAAAAGGAAACCCAGAGGAAACAAAAACAACATAGGAATTAGAATAAAATGTCCAAAAAACCTGTAATTAATGTCCCCACAGAATTAAAAAAAAACAAGATCATACACAAGAACATGTATCTTTATATCCATATTTATATTCAGAGATACATAACCCAATGAAAGAATGAGACAACGATTAACTCCAGGAGAAACAGTTGTCCAGGAAAGGAAATAGAATCACTATATATTATGAGGCTGAGCTGAGAATAATATTACACAATACTGATGACAATAATTGTGTAAATAATGTGACGTTGGTTGAATAAGAAAATTAGATGAACAGCTAGAGGAATTTCCTTTAAAGTTAGGTACAAATTAAAGATGTCTAATACAGACACTGTTATTAAATACTGTTTTGGAGGTGCTGTCAGCACAGAGATATAAGAACAAGAAATAACAGAGATAAGGATTGGAAAGGAAAAAAACTACATCACTTGTAAATAGAAAATCCAAGGGAATTCACAGGAATAGTCAGATCAGTTTAGAATGACTGCTAGATAACCAACTCAACAGGCCAAAAATCAATTGGATTCCTACAAACCAAAGGCAAATAATTAGAAAATATAATTAAAATTATTATGAGCAATAAAATCTGTAAAATAGGAATTATTCTAACGAAAGAAATGTTTAATGAAAGGAATGAAAGGTAACATATAATAGAGTAAAATCATTATCATGGGTGAAATGAAGATAACTGTTCTTAAAGTGAATATAAATTCAATAAAAGTCCAGTAAATAATAATCAGGGTTTTAATGTTTTGAACTAAAATTCTTATATAAGAGTCATGTTTAAATTTATATGGAAAAGTGAAGAGACAAGAATAGACAAGGAAATTTTGAAGAACAATATGAGAACAGGACTTTCCCTACCAGATACCAAGAAATTTAAAAAAGTTATAATGATTAAGACAGTAAGATATTAGGCCAGTGGGACAGAAGAGAGAGCCCAAAACAGACTTAGACAATTTGACTACCTTAAAATTAAAACAAAAACTTCTGTTCAACAGAAGACTACATACATAGTGTCTGTGGGAACACTTTGAGAAAAGCCTTTGGGAACTTACCTTATATAAAAATAGAGGTACTTCTAAACTAACAACATTTAGGCCACGATGTGCCTAACACCCAGCAGTGGAAATTATTATATAGAGGCAATATAGCATGGTGGTTAAATACAGATGCCTAGGTCAGACCTGGGTTTGTATCCTGGTTTTGCCACCTAAGTGCTCTGTGAGTTTGAGCCAGTAGTTGTGCCTCATTTCCCCTATTTGTCAAATGCAGTCAAATACCTTACTTACTGTGTTGTGGGGATTAAAGCAATTAACAAGTATAAAGGGCCTGGTATAATGCTGATATTTGTTTAGGTGTCATAAAGGATTGATTACTATTATCACTGCATCATGTTACCTTAAATTTCCACAACACTACAAATTTTCAACCACTTTCACCTCTGTGAGCTCACTCTACTATCAGAATATGATAAGGAAGGTTCTAGCTCACAGCTTCTGTGAGCCTATTTTTCCAACTATGAAAACAGGAGATAATCTCCCAGGCTCTTTTTGGCTCTATAAAAAAAAATCATTTTTATTTTACAAGAAAGAAATTTGAGGCAAAGAAATGTTCACTGACTTGCCTTCGGTCACAGAGAGTTATTAGCAGAGTCAGAATTAAAACCTATGTCTCCCATATTAATTTGTATTATAAAGCTACAATAATAATAATAATAATTTCCCCAAACTCTCCCTGTGTCTAAACTTCTTCCTGGAATTATAAGCTAAATACTTAGGAAGGTAATTCCCTTCGGGATCATTCTGAATATTACTGATGTATTGTAATGAGTTGAAGCACCTAACTCATTGCCAGGGAGGGAATTAGCAGAGACACTTCCCTCTGGTGAACAACATTAACAAGGATAATGGCAGTAATAATAAAAAAAAGAATTACCTGGGCAAGCAGACCAGGTTGTATCTGGAGGGGCTGAGCTCCTGGGGCTTGGGTGACGATGGGAACGGCATTTTCCATTCGCACAGAGTAGCCAGCATGCTTCGAGGGAGAGGCCTGCAAGCCTGATCCAGACAACGGGCAAGGGAGAGAGGGCTTAGCCGAGGGCTCAGAAACAGCTGGATGAGAAGCTTCCCAGCCAGCCACGCGTCCCCACCAGGTATCACCTGGTCCTTTGGAAGTGTCCCCTTTAGTTTCTAAGTAAAACAATAACCCACAAAGAACAATTCTGAATGTTTTTGAAGATCAGAAGGTCAAATTCAGGAGTCTGTAAAGCTGAAAGTGCCACAGTTAGGCTGACAAACGACAACAGGAAAACAATGGCTTCTGCCATGAAAACATTTCCATGTATGTCAAAGCCAGGGGTGGAGGGCAGACGGAGAACAAACCCACTGGAATCACACTGACTGAACTGAGCAAGTGCACACCTGCTCACACTGTGGGGTTTGCAGAAACAAATTCCCGGAGTTCTGTGTAAGTTGTAACCAAGCACACAGTCAACTCTAGCTTCTTAGTCTTCGGGAGGACAGCACTGGGGTACACGGCCAAACAATCACTTGGGAGCCTGGGAGGTCCTTTTCAGACAGATTTATATTCTGCGTGAGAACTGGGACTCTGCTGGCTGTTAGAGATTGGCAGTCTTCTAGACTGAACCCACACAGGGGCGATTTCGTGTGAGGAAACGCAAGAGCTGACATCAGCATAACAATAGGGGCACAAACAATGTGCTTATTTACAGACAGCTGGTCGGGGACCAAATCGCTGGCAGGTGGTGAGAATAACAACAAAGTGACTTGGTGCTGAAGCATAGGTCCTATTGTTCCCAGGCTGGCCACAGTAGGACAGGGGCCTGCAAGTTCAGTGATAGCAGCACTCTCACTGAAAGAAATGAAAAGGGCTTGACTCCAAGGAAGGTGCGTGACAGAAAACGGTGGGTGCCAGTGCCCCAGAGGTTGTCAGATTAGAAGCAGCTGAGAGGCTGTGTCTGCTCATTCTTACCTTGGAAGCCGGGTGGACACACGATGAGAGCTTGCTGGAAGGGGTCAGGCCGGGCACAAATCTGGGCTGTTCCTGTCTGCAGGGGCATGCTCCGCTGGGCCACTGCAGCCATGGATGCCGCTGAGGGCTGGTAGAGTGCAGATTGGTAGTTTAGTATGGAGACTTCGGGATTGGCTAAGGAAATAGTGGCACTGGTGGAGGTGGGAGCCTAAAGGGATGATGGGGATTAAACAAAAATAAACAAAAATAAAAAATGAGGGAGGTGGCATGCTGGGAGACACAAATCTAAATCAAATAAATGAACTCAAAGAAGAACAAACAAATAAAAACCAAGAGCCCAAAAGCAAAAACAGAGGAGAGTGGACATACAGTGAAAAGTCTCAGGGAAAAGCAGGCACCTGCTGCCACATGAGACACAGAATCACCTTTGGTGCTTATATTCAGGCCTGTTCCTATTGTGGGGCCTGAGCAAGAGTGCAAATGGATGCCTGCAAAGTGAAAAATGAGGCTAGAAACTATGTTCTGCCCTTCCACTTTGACAAAAATGCCTTTATGACAACCTGGAAGGCCAGGTTTGAGTCTGGGATCCCAGGACTCCTTGGGTTCTGCACTGGAGCATGGTGACGGGGGAGAGCTGAACCCCTGCCCCCTTCTCTCCCTGCCCAGCTCCGTCCCCCAGCTGAGGGGCTCTGGGTGTGCACACGTCCAAGCTCTGTCCACACCCCTGCTCCCTTGGGCCTGGTGGTGCATGCCATATTTTGGAGGAGGAATCCAGGGAGAGGCCTGTGAGGCACAGGGTTCTGGGTACCCAGAGGGTGGCATGGGAGCCCACATAGCTGGGGGAGGGCTACAGCAGACCCTGAAAGGGGCCCTCTTGCTCAGGTCTAAAGGTGGTGCTGCTTACAGACACCCTGAGATGCTGCACAGCACAGTTACTACCAATAATTGCACTCTAGAAACAGACAGGGAGAGTGACGCATTTAGACTGGGGTTTCCTGTTTGAGTTCCAGTGCACCTTACACCGCTGTTCAGCCACTAGGGCTGGAAGACAGGGAAGATGCTAGTGGGTCAGGAGAATTTACATGGAGGTGGGTTAAACGGGTGTTGAAATTATGTCCCCTCTCCTTTCTCTTTAGAAACACACCATCTGAGACAACTTCCATGTGAAGCAAGGCCATGGAAGGAAAACAGGTTCTGTAAGTCCCATGTTAGCCTTCCTCACCCCGATCCTTCAGCAAGAGAGGCGTTGGTTACCAATGAATAGTTTCAAGTTCAACATTGTTTCAAGCCACTTTGCCACTAGAGGTTACAAGGACTAAAGAAAGAGGGGGAAAGAGCCATGGGATATCTGGGACACATGCAAAAACAGAATTTCAAGAAGGGTATGCATGTGTGTCAAATATGATAGAAAGGATAAAGTCTCATGTTACATGCTTTTTTATGCTTAGATTTTATGCTGAATTTCAGTGCATAGCAAATCAATTTGTTTGAAAGGAATCACTAAATTATGCAGTGTACATGTTTGGGTTTTAAGCCCATAGTGTCACTGCTGGTGTCTGACCTTGCAGCGTCAGAGCCAGCCTCCAGGTGGCGTGACTGGGAAAGCGTGTGCCACACAAGGCGGCCAATGCCTGTTTTGCTGCTGATGCCATGCTTTGTTATTTCCTCTGTTCTCTCTGCTTCCGGACATACACACTTCGAAGGTCCAGACTCTCCTCAGGGCTTGGTGCCTCTGGGCTTCTGTCTTTGGGACCTCAACACCCTGCAGGCCACCACGCTGGGACTCAACTCCTCCACCTGCTGTCCAGTCACTGGTCCTGCAGCCTCTCCTTTGAACGGTCCCTGGGTCCCTGGATCCCGTTACTCTTCCATGGCTGCTTCGTCAGCTGAGGCCCTCTCCCCTGGGGTCTGGCCCTGTAAGGCTCTGACTAGTGATGTTCTGGCCTCTACTTTTCCTCTCCAAGTCCTTCTTGTGCTAGAACATTCTTTCCAAAAGACTAGTTTGTGCATATCACACCCCTGTCCCCAAATCTCCAATTACTGTCTAATCAACACTTACATGCACTTTGGTCTGGCATTCCTTTCCCGGGTTAGCCGACCTTCCCCTTCTAAATCTACCCCCTCTGCTCTCCATGCTCAGGCACCAGCCAGGTAATCTCGTTGTTTTCTAAGCATGATGTGAGCACAGGCCTTGCTGTCTTGGACAAACCCTCAGGCCCACAGCATTCTCTCGAAGCCTCTGTGCTTCAAGGCCTAGCCTGGGTCTCAAGTGCTTGGGCAGTGAATCCCTGCCTGATGCCATCAACTCAAATGAACTTGTTTATGATGTTAACCTCTCCACCTGCTGGTGTGAGGGGTTCTGGTGATGGTGACACTTTGTCAAGGAGCAGTTGGGTCTGGCCCTGGACACCTCAGCCCCAGGGCTGGGCTAAGTACTGGAGGGGGATGTTTGTTACTGGACTCCAGTCCTTTGCATTAGCTCTTCCGTCTAAGGAAAGCTTTGAGGACACCGATGGCCCCCAGGGGGCAGCAGATTCCAGGTGGCCTCTTCTAGAGTTCAGGCAGAGGGAGGGAAGGCAGCCTGGGAAGTAAAGCTAGGCCTCAGCGACCCAGTGCGCTACAGGAATGGCCAGGAAAACAGGGGGTTGGAGGGTGGTGGTGGCTGAAAACAGGGATCAGTGACCCTTCAGTGGCAGCAGGGGACCTGTCAAAAAAGAGCGAATGGCCAGGCAGAGGTAGTCATGCTTCAGAATTAGAACATACGCACTCCTCTCCTCTAGAGGGGTGAGTGTATATGTGCATACACATGGGGGTACTGTTGTCACTACAGATGGATACTCAGACTGAAAAAGTCCAGGGGAAGTTCTTTTGGGGAGAGTTGTTAAGACTGGCACATGGGAATAAAAGTAAAAGTCTCTTAAACAGCAGAGGTAGCCTGAGCTAGGACTTGGAGATTATTTATTCAGGAAGCTTTTCCTGATTTCCTGGGTGTCACCCATATTTCAAGCAGCATGTTAGGTGCTGGATTCTGCTAATTTCCTGCAAAAAGTTGGAATCTGTGGGAAGGAAACCTTAGGTTTCTGGTCTATTTTAGTTCTAGGTGCTGGGATCCTGGTGACAGGCTGATGAGAGGATAGGACCTGGAGAAAGGACAGGTTTAATCTCTCCCGAAGGGAGATCCTGTGGACCCAGCAGTGTGGGTCCAGTAGGGGAAGGGCCTGAACTGGATGATCGCCACGTTTCTTCCAGCTCCAGAATTCCTTACCAGCAAATATCAGACATAAGAGGATCTCAGCGTCTCCTTTACCTTATTCCCACATCAGGTCAGAGTGATGCAGTATGAGGTACCATCTCAGAAACTCCTTGCTTAGAGAGACCTTTCTGGGACCTTTCAGTGGGACCAGTAGTCAGTGCAGAATGCCTGGGCCTCTTAGAGGAAATGATCTTGGAAGCAAATAATTTCTTATGTAGTTGAATACAGTACACATACAACAGAATAATTTTTTCCCTTGTATATGATATTGGAGGAGTTTTGCCTCCTGACCAGGTTTGGTGGGAAAATACAAGCTCTGATATTCACACTGTCAGGTCTGCCTACCTTCCCCTCTGCCCCCACTTACCTGGTTGTGGACAGTGTTCAGCTGGTTGTTGAAGGTCATGGTCAGGTTGGTGGACGTGCTGGGGGCCACGTGGGTGATGAAAGGGGTTTTGCTCTGGTTCACCGTGTCATACATATTCACCCGACGTTTGCAAATCTCCATGTTCTGGAAACATGATTTGACACTGTTCGTGCAACAGGCAGAAGTGTAAGGGAAAGAGAAGAGGGTAACATAATATGGGATTAGAGGGGAGAACAGTTAACCTAGTCAACAAGACAGCCCAATAACTTTAGGTCTGAATTTCCTGGACTTCTCACGCAAAGCCTGCGTTTGCAGGAGTTCACGTTTAGATGCACTTTGCCCACTGACCTACTACCTCATTCCCCTATTTAGGATGGGTAGAGTCTCTCACTGCATTTTCCTCATATGGCTTGATCAACTTCCAACTTCACGGCTCATTCAGCTTTCAGTGTGGCTTCTGGCCCACAAACACACGCGCTCTCTGCTAGGAAGGAACATTGAACAGCGCTCACGACCTGCCTCCCTTTCCTCGAAGGCAACTCGTCGCACCTCCTTTCCAGCTACTCTGGGGCGCCAGCGCCACCTAGGGGCCGGCCAAGGCAGCAGCCAGCCCAGTATCACGACCTTATGGGATCCCCACTGGAATCGCGCATGTAATGAGAACGATCTTAGTAATAATTAGTAACAGTGACTACCTTTCATTGAGAGCTGTGGCAGTCGTTTGCAAGTACCCCTTTCCTCAGTCCTACAACCAACTATTTTCCAAGTAAGGACAGGTTTACAGAGGATAGTTTGCTAAGGTCAAGAGCAATCTCCTGTACATCCTCTTTAACTTCCTTCAGCCTCTGCCTTTTCCTTTTCTAACTCTTGTCCAGGTTCATGAAATAAAAATTCTCTCCCTCTTTTTCTTCCTCCACTGTATTTGTGAATCAAAACAAAACACTGACTATGAAAGTAAAATAGGAAAGTGTTCCTGACATGGCATCAGGAGAAAGGAAAGCTGCAAGGGGCCTCAGCCTCAAGGTTTTGAAAACCCACTATGACGTGTCCTTCAGGATTCATGCACTGCTTCTCATTCATGTCTCTGTGTTCTTGGTCAATTAAACGTACTTAAATGCATGTTTTCAAGATAATCGTATTTAAAATTTAATTTTAAATGTTTATTTTAAACATAATGTAGTAACTGAATATACATAATAATTTTCTACTATTTTTAAGATTAGAAATATAGTAGTATAGGTATGCTATATTTTGGGCCAAGTAGGTGGGATATCCCCAAATATCCTTTCCATAAAAGATGCTCCAAATTGACTTTGACATGCTCGAAGAATCCTCTTTCTTTCTGAGTTAATGACTACTTATGTTGGCCACACAATGCACATTAAATAAACACTTACTGACTGACGATCCTGGAAAGAAAGGAAAACATCTTCTATGGTAACTAAGAGCTAAAAGACCAACGATAATGTTGGTAATGACAACATGTTTTGAGCATGTATTAAATACCGAGCACACTGCTAAGTGCTTTCACATGGAGGCTGAAGGAATAAAACAATGGATTTTGTATTCTTTTTGGAATGAATTTTAAGCATTCAATGGTTTGGTGACAATTCAATGAAAGTTTTTTGACTCAGAACTTTCTAACAGAAATGGCGAGTTTTGACTTTCAGGAAGAGGTATAAGCACTTTCACTTTGGGGTAATTCTATGAGAATGGGTTTCTGAGGAATGTGTGCACTAGAACCCTGGTGTGGAGAGACGAGTGGGCTCTCTTACACCTGCTTGTCTAGATGCTGCAGCAGCTCTGCGGCAGCCCCAAGGATGAGGGTCTTCGGCAGGGTGGGCCTGGAATTCTCATGGGCTTCCCAGCAAGTTCTAGGGGCCCTTAGGGATCAGGCCTACTCCCAGGTAAGCCAGCTGTGCTCAAGCACCCGTCTTTCCTTCTGAGGCCCATTTTCTGAGTTCTGAACTGGCAGCGATACTCTCGGTCCCACTCCGAGCTCCGAACTCAGAGCTCACGTGCATAGTCTCCATGCTCGGATTCTATTGCTGCTTCGGTGCAGAGCCCAGAGAAGGGTGGGACCCTGAGGTCATTCGACTGTGCCCCCAACTTTATGGGGGTGACTGTCTCACTGACCCAGTGCAGATGGCTAACGGGAGCTCCAGGAGAGCACTCCCCCATCTCCTCCCACAGCTGCTTCCCAGTCACCCTGCTTTGCTCCTTAGCAAAAATGGACGGATCTTCCGGGAGCCTTGCCCAGTAATCGGTCACCAAGTCTGCATCCTTTCCTTGGAACAGAGCCACACCCCTTGACTCACCCCTGCCACACCCAGAAACAGGGCAAATCCCATAATGAGGTTCTGCAAGGGAGGGGTCCAAGTTCCTTCTCTGTCCTGGCGGTTTCAAACAGTTCTAAATTAGACGCACGCTTTTGGTTGTTGCAATGTAGTTTGACTTGCTTAACACCACTGATAAGGGGCAGAATTGCAATGGAGGAAGCGCTCATTGTTTGCAGGCTGGTTAAGGTAAGGCCCTGTCTGAACTATGTCCCCCAAATACAATACTGAAGCCCTAAGCCCCTGTACTTCAGAATGTGACTGGATTTGGAGATGAGATCTTTGAAGAGGTAAAATGAGGTCCTTAGGGTCAGCCCCAGTCTGATGCCTTATGAGGAGGAGGAAATTAGGACATGGACATGTACAGAAGGCTGTGTGAGGACACAGGGAGGAGACAGGCGTCTACAAGCCAAGCAGAGGGGCCTCAGAAGAAACTAGCTTGATCTTGGACTTCCAGAATGGTAAGGAAGTGAATTTCTGCTGTTAGAGCCCCCAGCACTCAGTGGTGCAGTACTGCAGCCTCCATAAACCAACTCTCCCCCACCTCTTGCCCAATGGCCTTATCTCTCCCTGTCACCCACTGAGGCCTGTGCCACCGGCTCAGTCTTCCACTAACTTTTTCCTGTCCCCAAGGGAGATGTCAGGGGTCACCCTGACTACTGCCGGACAGCCCACCTTCTCAGTTCCTCCTCATCTTCAGTGGCCTGGTGTCACTTCTGGCTGCCCATTCTCTGGATGCTCAAACCTAAAACTGCTCCATTTCCCCAGACCACAGATTCAAGCATCCCGCCCCCAGCCACATTTTCACCCATCTGGCTCATTCAACTATTATTGAATAACTGATCTTTGAGCTGATCACACTACCCCATCTCTTGGGAGCCGTCCCACCTTCAGGGCCTTTCCCCATCACCGGAGCCTCCAATAGCTGTTGCTTTGAATTCTGGCTGCTCTCTCACCAATATCCTAAGTCTGTCCACCTTTTTCTCTTAGCAGCCTGGTGAACTCCAACCTGGATGAACCCTACTATCTGTTTTCTCTATGCTTCGCCTGGGGAGTTCCCAACCTCCCTGTGCACCAATTATGCTGTTTTGCTCTGTTTGTTCTGCCATTTTCTGCTCCAACTACCCAAACTTTTCCACCCTTCCTAAACCACCAGTCACCTTCCTCTCATCAAGACAGGAGCTGTCTGAAGAACTCCCTTTACTTCCCACTGCTAAGCCAGCACACCTGCGATACCCGCCCCCGCTGCCCGCTGGCCTGCTCCTCCACCTGGCTTGAATCCCAGCCCCTCCCATTTTCTTGGGAAATCGTCTTCTGTGCACCCTTTATCTTTAATCTCTCACTTGTTACAGACACTTCCCATCAGCATCTTGAATTGCTCAAGTCTCTTTCACATTAAAAGACCCCCATCTAATCAGCCCTCTTTTTATCCACTGCCCCCAGCATCCCTAGTTGAACCTGTCTCCTTATCTCCCTCATTTCTGCCACCTGCAGAACGGGTTTCTGTTTCCACCACCCACTGAAACAGCTTCCCCAACTTCTACGTTGCCAAATCTGATGGGCATTTTTTCCAGGCTCATTTGACTTGATCGTGCAGAAGCAAGCAGATCTTCATTAAACATGACTCTAACCAGCCATTCCCCGGCTTCAAAGTCCTACAGTGACTCCCCATCACTCTTAGGATAAAGACCCCCAATGCTTAACATGGAAGGCTTCCCTGGCTGGCTCTCCATGGCCACCTCACTCCCACTGTGCCCAGTGCTCTGGCTGCCCACCCTGGAATCTCTGCATGAGCAGTGCCCTTCTGCTCTGCTGGCCTTTCCCCTGGTCCCCTGTGGCTCATCCTTCAGTGGCCACTTCCGCAGGGTCTTCCCTTCCCTGCCCCAAGGGAGGCTCCCCTGTTCCAGGCCCACATCGCACACACCATGTGTGTTCGCTGGTGACAGCCCGGTCATGTGGGTGTCACTTGGTGGTGCCGTTCTCTCTCCTGTAGACTGAGCTCCTGTAGAGCAGACCTCATCTGCTCTACCCCACGCTGCACCCCAGCGCCTGGCACAGTACACACCACATTCAAATAATGAATGAATGAATGAATGAACAAACACAAACCCAACTAGAGCCGGTTTACTCTGGAAGGGTTCCAGGTGTGACCTTCTGCACTCAAAGTGCCTTTGCTGTGTGGGGACCCCCACAGTCTGGTCCCTCCCAGGTTCCACCATCCCCTCCTTTTTGGTTTAAAGCAAACTGCAGCCCAAGGTCCCAATCTGGCGATCGCCTGGTTTTATAAATAAAGTTTTACTGAAATGCAGCATCAGTATTTGTTTGTGTATTGTCTATGGCTGCTTTCAGCTGTAACAGCAGAGCTGAGGGGTTGTGACAGCCACTGTCTGGCCACCAAGCCTAAAATATTACTATCTGGGGCTTTAAAGGAAAAGTTTGCTGACCTCTGGTATAAACCATCAAGTGGGACACCTACTGTGTACTGTGGGGAAAATCGAGTAAGTGCGTCATGGTGGCAAAGGGGTGGTTCAGGGTCTCGATGGGAGTGATTCTCTTGTCAGCATCTATGGTCAGCATCTTCTTTAGCAGGTCAATGAACTCCCGCCGGTCCGCCTTTTCCACCAACAGGTCACTTCCTTCCAAATCTGTTGTCATGTTCACCTGGAAGCAAGTAGGGACTGGTTACCAAGACCCTGGCTCCCTTATTCTCTGCCCTGCGGCTCCATCCTAATCTCTCAGCCATCCTTCCCGATCCTGGGCGGCTGCGGCTGCCCCACGGGAGGCCTCATGTTACTACTGCCCAGAGGGTGTGGACATTCTCTGCAGAAAGGCAGAGGGAGGCCAGGCGCTGGGAAGGGCAAGGGCCGCTGCTGGCACCTGCAGACATGCGACGATGGGGCAGGGCAGGACGCACGCTGCTCTCACTTGGCGCCTCCCAGCACACTGCACTGACTGACCACAGGTGCAAAGGGTTCTGGAGATTGGCTGCGTGACACTGTGAATGTACTTAACACTCCTGAACTGGGCCCTTAAAAATGGCTAAAATGACAAAGTTGTCATTTATGTGTATTTTACCACAATTAAAAAACAATAACCACAACCAAGCAGTAAACAACAAGATGCAAAAGGCTTCTTTAGCCTTGAGAGCCCTGAGTGTCGTCTTCCTGCAGCTACAGTCCACAGTCCTCCTGCAGGCCCCTGAGTCAGGGCTGGGGTGACTGCTGTGCCTGCGTTCATGGGCTAGTTGGGCCAAGACCAGTGCAAGTTCTGCACACAGGAGTTCTCTTCCAAGAGCAGTCTATACTAGGATAGCCTTTAAAGACTTGTTTGGTGGTACTTTCCATATTTTCCAAGACATGCTCTGGAAAGCAATTTCACTTTCCCAGACAATCTAAGCTTCTAATCAACTGACAAGTATACTTTACTCAATCATGATTCTTGGTTACATTAATCTTTCAGCAAGAGGTGTGCTAACTGTTCATTGGTCTATAGCTTTACTTCTCATTGCTTTTGAGAAAAACTCACTTTGGGCTGCCCTGATTTTAGACTAGTTTTTACACTAAAAATAGCTAAAGTTCAAGAATTTTCTCTGGGCATAAAGGTGAGAGCCTGTAATCCCTCCAGTGAGCTGAGAGAGACTAACTGCAGTGGGCTGAACTGTGTCCCCACAAAAGATACGTTAAGTCCCTGGTACCTCTGAGGATGACCTTATTTGGAAATACATTTGTAGACGTAGCAGGTTAAAATGAGGTCCTTCTGGAGCAGGGTGGCCCTAAAGCAATGACCAGTACCTCTACAAGAGAAAGAAGAGGGACACAGGGATGGAGGCCATGTGAAGAAAGGCGCAGCGCCTGGGGTGGTACAGCTGTAAGTAAAGGACCCTGGGGATTACCAGGGGCCACCAGGAGGCTGGGACAGGTTCTTCCTAGAGCCTCTGGAGGGAGCATGGCCCTACTGGCACCTTGATTTCAAACTTCCAACCTCTAGAACTATGAGAGAATAAATGCCGCCCAGTTTGTGGCACCTTATCATGGCAGCCCTGAATCATGGCTGTGGAACTCAAATGTACTAATGAGCTTAAATTCTTCTCATGAAAACATCAGGAAGATTGGCCAGTACTAGTTTGCAAATGGGAACCAATTAACTGGAGCTATTTTTAAGGAGCTGGTGTAAGATTTTGAAAATGTTCCGCAACCCCAGCGGTGTTCTTACGGAGGCGGGCACATCACTGGGTAAGGCCTAGGTTGGCCCTCGCAGTTGGGAAATGTGGATTCCTCTTGCCTTCCCATATTGCTCTTGCAGAAGTCTTGTTGTGCTTGGTTTCAAAGGGCTAATGCTGCATACTCACCCACACAGCTTACCTGGGCCATGTCATCTAAACAGTTGAAAATGTACTTCCTTGCTTCTTTCGACTTAATCCCTGTCTCTGCTTCATGGTCATCTGGCGTCTGGTCAGGAGAGGCAAAAGCCGACTGGTAATGTCAGTTACGTCCCAGACACTGTAACTCCAACCCTCACTGAGGGCCTTTCCCCACCTCTCAGGGAAGGAGACTGATTCTTCCTGAAGTGACTGCACGCTAACTGCTTCCCCTTCTCACCCTGCACACTACCTCACCCTCTCCCTTCCTTCCCACAGGCACCTGCTGGGGGCCTGCTCTGAGCCAGGTCCAGAGGACTCCAAGCTGAGCTACATCAGTCACATCCCTGATAGCTCAACATTCTTCTCTAAGTTTAAGGGATAAAGTAAGATTCCATATGTGGAAAAGCAGAAGCCCTTTTCCACACTGTTCAGAATTTTATTTTAATGTTATTTAGCAGCCTCTTATACATACAGCTCTTACTGTGTGCCACACCCTATTCTAAAGCACATGAATTCAGTTAATGTTCATCACAAGCATCTTAGGCAGGTCAGTTACCAACCCATTTCCCAGAAGGAGAAACAGGACGGAAAGCTTAGGGACCTGACAAGGTCGCAGGGCCAGTAAATGGCAGCTGGTTCCAGAGTCTCTGCTCTGTGCTGCCCCTCTGCCTGGGGCTTGGCGCCCACACATGGTTCCTGCACTGGCCTTGGTCTAGGAAGTAACCCAATTACTATGGGTCTTTGGATTCATCCATGAGGACAGGTAAGTAGTCCTCAAAGTCTCCCTCAAGGGAAGCTTTCCTGGAGCTAATGAGTTCCAGGCTTCCATGCTGGGAACAGCTGGACAGGTAGGATTGAGGCTCCTACCTGAGACACAGAGGTGAGCCCTGGCCCTGCCCGGCCGGACCCTCCTCCAGCCTGGGCTCTCTGACTGGACCTGACCTCACCCTCGCAGCTGCCAGGTGTCAGCCCGCCCATCTGTAGCCTGAGACGGCCTGCTTAGCTCCCAGATCTCTTCTCTAAATCTTTTGCAATGAGTGGCCACACATTATCTTTAAATCTTATTAGAATTTGGCTAAGGTTTCTGTCCAAAAAAACCCCATCCACTCTCTTGCAGAAAAAGAAACACCTAAAATGAACATAAAACATACTTAAGACTTATATCATTTTCTCCTTCTCAGGAAAATACACCAATTTTAATTACTAGGCACAGATCAAAGTGAAAACAAAATATGTTTCTATTGAAGTAAAACCACCCAAAAGTTTATGGTGTGCAATGGTGTGCCATACCACCTGCCAGTGGGGGCAAGGAGCCCCTCCCTGGGGCCTTAGGATGCCATGTTGCTTGGACTGTGTCCTCTGCCTGGAAGACCCCTTCATCCTTTAGGGCTCAACTGCTCCTCCCTGGCCCTCAGCCACAGTATGAAAGGCTCCCTCCCCTCAGCAACCACACACACACAGGTCTGTCTTGCTCTGGACTGAGAGCTCCTCGAGGGCAGGGCCTGGCCCGTTTCTCTCTCTAGCACAAACCAGAGAGGTCACCTAGGTGTACTGGATTAATCCGGGAGTTTAGCAATCAGAGCTCGGGGATGGAGTTCTGCCGACAGCAGCAGGCCAAGCAAAGGGGTGCCTTTGACCATTACAGTTCATCTGCGCCAAGTGTCAACAGCAGCCACCCCCCACCCCCACACGGCTGGCTGCCCCAAAGTGAGGTCCAGGATCAACGTGCAGATGTCAAAAGCCCCCCACCAATCAGACCACATCCTTCCCTGAGCTGGGGGTTGGTGAGGAATGGAGGGGACGCCCTTCCTACCTTCAGCCTCCACAGAGGATACGGTGAGTCTGTGTCACGGTTGAAAAACCTGGTTGTCTTTGTCCCTGCGCTTAATAAATATTCAGCTGGCAATCCCTGTGTTTGTGAAATATACCGAATCTGCAAGAAAAGATGAGAATGAGGTCAGGGCTTTTCCTGTCACCGTACATATGTGTACTAATGGCTCTAGTGCCTTTGAGAAAAATGACAATTTTGTAGGGAAAGAAAGAAGTGATCAAAGAAAAAGGGAGAAGAAAGATAAAAAAAGAACAGTGAGGCTAAGAGAAGCAAGGATCAGGAGACAAACCCCACGATCCCATCTGTACATCATGTTGTAAAATATCCGAATGAAGAGAGAGCTTGTGCTGAATACCTGTGCCACCTGGACCCACCTGATCGTACTCTGAAGCTCCTGGATATAGCGGCCAGCCCAGGAACAGCTCTGCAATGACACAGCCCAGGGACCACATATCAATTGCCTCACAAAATGGTAAGCCAAGGATGATCTCAGGGGCCCTAAAAAGGAAGAATGGAAGAAATCATAGCAATTTGGAAATCCTGTGGCTGCTTCTATATGAATTCTACGTAAAATCCTATCTTTTACACCCAGACTAGTATTACCCACCCTCTGCAAGGCCTGTGGTCCTGGCACAGTGCTTCAGTGAGCCCTCCTTTCTTCGGCTTGATCAGGGAGCCTGGTTAGATGGCTGGCTAAGACGAAAGGGTGTCTGTGGTTCCAGAATAGGCCTACCAGGAACCACAGCTATTAACTTCATTACCATTACACTCCAACCAGATGTACTAATGACCACTTCAGAGATACTCAGAGGTTATTTATCTTTTGTAGCTGAAAACCCTGGAAACCAATCTTTAGAGAACTCCCAGTTTTTACAAAGGAATTTTGAAATACAGGTATTGTATTTTTTGTAATAGACAAAACTGGGTACCTCCACCCAGAATAATGGGATTAAATCCAATATCCATACACATCAACGACCCCTTGCTTAGGAGTTTGTACTACCACATTTTCCCAAGGAAACAAACAGTATTTTTTTCATTAGTTCTAAAATGTTCATCTCCTAAAACATTCTCCAGTATTATAATCGTAGAATCCTGTTCACGACTACAGTCTGAGTATGAATCAGAATTTCATTATAAACCCATTCCTGACTGTAGGAGTCAGGTCCCTTCACACACTAGACAAGGTCACATGCTGGAGCTTCTGAAGAAAATCACCTAAACTCAAAGAGAAAATTTGTTAGTAATCAAAGGTAGTCAGTAACCAAAACCAAAGAGGCCACAGAGCGCATCTTCTTTTCTAAGAATTTGTCATGATTAGGTAGGAGTGCATTTTGGAGAAAACCAGGTTCAAGGTATGAGATATGAACACAGCTTATGCTTTTTTTTTTTAATATGGCTCAAGGCATTCTGCTAATAATGTAATACAGAAGCCCAACTTGTTTTTTCTATAAGCATCCCACTTGATTAAGCCATGCCAGACCTTTCAGCAGCCTGGCGTGGGAGTGCAGGGAACCCGTGAGACTGTGCCCATCTAGACCACCTTCACCCATCCGCACGGGAGGAGGGGGGAAGGTGTGAGCAAAACACATCCACTCATCTCGGGAGCTTCCTGCTGAATTTTCCCCACTTAGAAAGCACCTTTCCACCTTGCTCCTTCAAATTTGCTCTCATTGCTGATTTTTCTCTGTATACTAATATTGAAAAAAAGAACAAAACCCAAAATGTCTCATTATAAAGTCTTTTGACCTTCCAGATGTAAAGAGGAGTTTTTTACAGTGCTGCCAGTTGCTTCTGGAGTGCCACAGTCACGGGTCTGGACAGTGAGACATACTTTTCCTAAAATGCAAGACTGGGTCTTTGCAGGCTTGGTGAGAGGGAGTTACCGCAGAGGGTTGGGGGCGAGTTGCCTCGGTGCTGCTTACTAGGGGAAGCCCTTGGTCCCTGCCCCCTGACTGCTGGGCACTGTTGCCCTCTCCTTGTCTGTGACTCCTCCAGTCCTAGCTGCTGACCCTTTGTGTGAACAGCGAGGTTGCACATGCCCTATGGCAGCCATGCCCTGCGGATGCCTGTTGTGGGCGTTTTATGACACATCACAGCTGGACCGTTGTGTGTCATGGGGCCTTTGACCCCACAACCGGCCTTGGTCACTGTGTCCAGCACTGCCCACACTCACCAGGCTTCCAGAGTCACCTGATCATTGCGTGTAATTAGGAGATGACTGCATGTTGCCTTTAGGAAAGTAATCTCTTTAGAGATGGTTTTGGTGAATTTAAAAAATGACATTCCTTAGAAAAGAAGGGAGTATCTGAAAAGAACATTGCAGAGGAAACAACATGTTTTCCCTACATATGTGTCAGAACCATCTTTTCTTTCTGCCTTTTCTGGTCTAGACTCAGCTGTGCCCACCTGCCCCATCTCATATGCACGCTTAGGCTTCTTCCCTGAAGAAGAGCTGTGGTCCCGGTTCCTGAGAAGCCCCTCCGTTGGCAGGCTGCTGGCCCCGGATTAAGCATCTCTGAGCCTCCATCCCCCTGTTCCTCTGTGACCTGGACCTCTACCCCTTTGCAGCCTGGACAGTCCGGTCCCAGATTGGGTCTTCGGGACAGTCTGGCCCAGTTCCGTGGGGACATCTCTCTGCTTGACTACGAGCTGCCCTTATTGTCAGGTCAATCACTGGTGCTCATGCACCTAAGCAGGCTGTTTGGAACCTCTAGAAACCCATTTCCCAGTTTCTGCTCCCTTACGGTGTGCAAGGCAGAGCCAACAGATGAGACTGACAGGAGACTCCAGTCATGTCCTTCGGCAAGAAACAGGGATTAGTTGACGGATGTTACATGAACAGGGCCTGTGAAAACCGCTCAGTCCATTTTCCATTAGAAAATGAAAGGGTAGCCACTCACAGTACCATGATATATGGACAGCAGAATATTTTTCTTGCTGTGACCATTATGAACCACTGCTTAAGTTGCTGGGAGACAAAAGAAACAGAAGGCATGGTGCTGTGTCCAAGGGTCCCCAGTGCTGGGGAGCCCAGGCTAAAGCACATGGGACAACTGAAGCTGAACACAAAACACACACAGAACACACAGATCTGGAAACCCAGCGAGTGCAAGCGTGAGAACATGCTCTAGCATCTCCCCTTGAAAACTACAGCAGGACAGAGGAACAAACCGAACCAAACAAACCTGCCCTTGTTCCTGTCACCTCCCTGCAGCTGCTGCCCTGTTTTTCTGCTCCCCCACCAATGTCAACTCTCTGAAGAGTGATCTGCAGGCCCACTGTGTGCCTCACCCTCCCCACTCAAGAGCAGTGCTTGTCAAGATCAGCAGCCACCACGTAGTCACCTCCATTGGTTCACTTCTCAGCTCCGTGACCCAAGAGCGGTGTTTCTTTCACATAGTTGGCCATTCCCTCCTGTTTTGAGACGCTCCGTCTGGTTTTCATGACACGCACACACTCCCATATTCATCCTGCCTCAGTGCTTGCAGCTTGTCTGTTTCCTGTGCTGGCTCGTCCTCTTTGTCCAACTACTACAGGATGGCAAAGTCCTGGGATCCCTCTTTTCTCTCATTTCATCCTAGTTCTGGGTAACTGTTATGGGTGGAACTGTGTCCCCCACAAAAGACACGTTGAAGTCCTAATCCCTGGTACGTGAGAATGTGTGACCTTGCTTGGGAATGAGGTCACTGCACATGTAAGTAGAGTTAAGATGATGTCATACTGGAGTAGGGTGGCCCTTAATCCAACATGGCTTGGTGTCCTCATATGGGGTAAATCTGGACACAGGTGCAGAGGGAAGACGGGCATGTGAAGACAGAGGCGGAGATCGGAGTGATGCTGTCACAGGCCAAGGAACGCCTGGGGCCACCAGTCAGTGGAAGAGGCCAAGAAGGATCTTCACGTAGAGGCTTCAGAGCGAGCATGTCCCCGCTGACACCTCGACTTTGGACACACATCCAGCCTCAGAACTAGGAAAGAATAAATCTCTGTGCTCCTAAGCCATGCATTTTCTGGTACATACCTGTTTTTATAGCCTTAGGAAACAGATACAGTATAGTAATCATATCCACTCCCACAGATTTAAACTCCAATCCTATTTCCAAATGGCTATCTCCATCTTGGACTTTTCTCAGCTCCAGATTTTTACGTGCTGATGGCCAGACTCCACTGGATTGTCTCGTGATCATCTCATTTTAAACTTACTATGTTTAGAAGGGAACTCTTCTCCTCTGCCCCCTCCCAGATACTCCTCCCTCTGTCTGCCTTGTTTCATTAAGTGGAATTATTGATGGAGCAGGTCAGGCTGAGAAGCAGATACATGAGACACAGGCCCTGCCCCCGAGAAGGCTTGGTGGGGCGCATACGTAGGGACGTACGTAGGAGCGTGCCTTTAGAACAGCACACGCTCGTACTCTCAGGGCCAGTCGGGTTGTTCGTGCTTCCATCTTCATCGCCTGGCACACCAGCAGGGAGGAAGTGGGCAGTGTTCGGGTAAGGAAGGAAGGCGGGGAGGGGGCCAGTAGCGGCCCCCCAACTGCTACTCGTGCTAGAAACCTGGAATGATCTTGAATTCCTCTCTCTCCCTCTTTATCCTCACCTTCCAATCCATGAATATGGCCAGCTTCAAGTGGCCCCTGACTCCCCACCTCGGCTGCCACCGCTCTGGCCCTGGCTGCCCTGTCTCACCGGGAGCTGCCTGGCTGCTCCTCCCGCTTCCTCCAATCCGCTCTCTACAGAGCTGCCCAAGTGAACAGGTCGTGTCTCCCTTTGCTTCAGAGGCTCCCCGCCAGCACCCAGAACAAAACCTGAACCCCTCCTGTGGCCCACAGGCACTCCCTACCCAGTTCCTGCCCAGTTCTCCACCGTCCTCACCCCCAATGCTCCGAGTTCAAGACTCCAGTCCTGCCAGTTTTCTTGCAATTCTAGAATATGCCCAGGCTCCTGTGGACCACGGGCCTTCATGATACTGTTGCTTCTGCCTCGAATGCTCCCCCTGCCACTGCTCTCAGGCAGCTGCCCCTTCTCATCCTTCAAACCTCAGCTGAACTGTCACTGCATGGACAGGCCTCCTTTGACACCAGTTAGTCTCCATCCATGGTGCCATAAATGTCACTTTACAGCACTTTCCCAATAACCTGCTTACTGTCTTCTCCCCACTAACTCCACGAGGGCAGCACAGTGCCTGGCGTTTAGCAGCCACTCAATCAAGAAGGATTAGTTGACTGAATAACTACTAAATAGAAGAAAGCACTAAAATATGCGATGCAGATGGAAAGTTGTAAGGCAAACACAGTAGAATGCAGGGGGTAAATCTTCAGGAAGGAGGAAGTCTGGGCACAGGGGCAGGGTTGGCAGGGCACCGGTTCCATGCAGTTGGGCGTGTGCCGCAGGGGTGGGGCCCTGAGGTGCTCCCGGAGCAGGGCTTCTGTGTCAGGGCGAGCACCGAGAGTCAGAGGACACCCACCTGTAGGTGGCTCACAAAAGAATGATAGCAA